GTCATCAAATGCAGCTGATGGGAGCAGATGCAGAGACCCACAGCCAAACACTAGGCAGAGAGAGAGTCTGTACTGGAGATCTCCATCAGGTCGCTCCACTTGGAGCTCACGGAACTCTGCAGAAAAGGGAGAGGAAGAATTGTAAAAAATAGAGGGATCAAGGACACCAGGAGAACATGGCCCACAGAATCAACTAAGCAGGGCTGATAGGGGCTCACAGAGACTGAAGTGGCACTCATGAAGCCTGCATGGGTCTGCACTGTGTCCTCTGCAAATATGTTATAGTTGTGTAGCTGGATGTTCTTGTGGAACTCTCAACAATGCAAATAGGAGTTGTCTCTGACTCTTTTTGTCTGCTTTGGGACCCATTCCTTCTACTGGGTTGCCTTGCTAAGCCTTGGTATGAGGGTTTGTGCCTAGTCTTTATTGCATCTCGTTATGTTGTGTTCAGTTGCTATCTCTGAGAGGTCTGCTCTTTTCTGAAGGGAAATGGAGGAGATGTGGATCTGGGGGAGAGCACAGGTGTTGAGGGGTGTTGGGAGGAGTGGAGAGAGGGGAACTGTGGTTGGGATATATTGCATGAGAGAAAAATAAATATATAAATAAAGTACATATAATAAATGACTGTGGGTATGATACTAAACAGGACATCTATATCACCCCATCCAAAGATCAGGGATCATTATGGAAGTGGGGGCAAAAAAATAAAGGCAGAAGATGAAGTGCTGTTAAGTGATGTCTTATGGGCATTACATGGTTGTTGCATTCATGAACTCACAGCAGCTCTATGTCCCTTCAAAAGGTGTACACAAGACTGAGCCCATCAGCGTCTTGTCATGATAGGGAAGGAACTCATGAGGCCTCACCCCTCCCAGGAGCTGTCCAACAGTAAATGGTTGTTAGAGTAGGACAGTAGGAGAGGTCATTTTCTTAGTGGTATAGAAGTTTTTTAAGTGGTTTCATACCCCAGAACTGGACTGACAGCTGGGGAACCTGCATGGGACCAAACTCGGCCCTCTGAATGTGGGTGACACTTGTGTGGCTTGGGAAGTATGTGAGGCCACTGGCAGTGGGACCAGGATTTATCCCTAGTGCATGAACTGGCTTTTTGGAGCCCATTCTCTATGGAGGGATGCCTTGCTCAGCCTTGATACAGGGGGGAGGGGATTGGTCCTGCCTTAACTTGATATGCTACTTTTGTTGACTCCCCATGGGAGGCCTTACCCTCTCTGAGGAGTGGGTGGAGGTGTGGTTGGAGGGAAGGCTGGGGGTGAATGGGAGGAGGGGAGGGAGAGGGAACTGTGGTTGGTATGTAAAATGGAAAAAAAAAACCTTTTAAATTAAAAAAAAAAGCAACACACACATACACAAAAAGAAAGTAACTCCCTACCCAAGCAATCCTAATTGAAATCAGTGGGTCATCAAAAAATGAAAAGGCACCAAAGTACGAATAAGACATGTTGGGAAGGGTTTTAATAAGAGGGAGAAAGAGATAAGAGAGGATGACAGGGTCGGGGAGGATGAAAATGACTGAAATTCAAATGTTCCATTGCATTTATATGTCATATTTTCTCATGGGATGAATATGACCAATTATATTATATATAAATATGACAATGTCACAAGGATACCTAATATTTTATACAATTAATATATGCTAGTCAAAATATATATACATATATATATGTATATATATATATATATGTATATATATATATAAGCAAAACCAAGATTTGTCTTGAGATGCTACAAGTAGGCCCTCTTCCAAGAAACGTGTGTGTGTGTGTGTGTGTGTGTGTGTGTGTGTGTGTGTGTGTGTGTGTGTATTACTCTGGATATTTTTAATCTCATACTTGATAGCCAGAGATGTCTTTCTCTGTATCAATAAGGGATTCGTATATCTTATTGATAATTTTTTTAGCATTAGAATGCTTATTGGGGCATTATCTATAATATCAAGACAATGGAAACATTGTATGCTGTGGGAGGGCCCCTGAAGGCTTTACAGCAGGCAGGGAAAAACAATCAGGGTGAGGTAAGAAGGAAACTCGGATCAGATCAATTTTGGTAACCAGTGCTAGGCCAGGACTTCTAGAGTCTAACCCAGATCATTTTACTTTGGCCGTATTTAAGCACAACATAATTTTGAAATAAGTATTCACATAATAATTAACTCAGTCCCATTTGCACAACAATCTTAGACATGTTTACATTGAGAGTCTTTACGGAGTATATCTGGCTTCTTTCACAAAAATGGGGAGGTACAAAAAATGGGTTGACTCGAGATAAAGCTTTAGGGTCTGAGGAGAATGACTGAGGTGAACATAATGCCTATGGGAGTCGGGATTTGGCCTGGCCCTAAGACAACACAGAAGTCACTTAGGGTGTTGTATAAACGACCTTCTCACAGGGATGAGTTGTATGGCCTAGAAGGTTATGGCTCAAGGTTTTAAGAGGAAAGAGTTGGTTTTTCTGAGGTGGTGCAATGTTATTCATTAAGCGGCGCTGTTACCGTGCGAGAAAAGCAACGAGGCACAACAAAACCCACAATAAGAGTTTTATTAGGAGAAGGGAGGGACAGAAGAGAATGTGCTTAGGCCTATGGAAGACATGTGCAGGGAGCAGGGGAGGGAGGAAGAAGGGAGAGGAGTCTGTGTCCTGCTTTTTATGGATTCCCCTGCACATGCACATATGGGCTTATGGAGCTACACCACGCATGCACATAGATTTTGTGATCACGCTGCATGAAAATTATGCGATCACACAGCACACAGATTACATAGGACATAAAGCCCTGGAATGACTAAACATCTGAACAATGCATGTGCGGTCATGTAGCTGGGGGAGTGGCCAGGAATTCCAACATTCCAAACTCTTTGCTTATTATAAAAAAAAGGCAGGTGAACAAAAGTGGGGGCACCATGTCTCCCAAAAACTGCTTCCAGCTGACTTGGTGGGCGTCAGTTAACTCTTGGGGAGTAGGAAAGGGCGCTTCTGAGGTAGCCAGCCATCCTGGGGTAGTATGGACGTGGACGATCTGGGGGTCAGGTTCGAGATGAATATCGGGATGACTACGATGCTGGCAGAGGGAGAGAGAAAAGGTGTATTTATGAAATTTTAGTTTTCATAAGATCATAATATTTCAACCCATTGCTTCCAGCAAGTATATGCTAGTTTTTTAATTCTGGAAGAACGTTTCATCACAGATCTGATCTGAAAACTGTACAAAGTTTCATTTCAGATCTTTGTACAGATCTGAAAACTGTACAAAGTTGAAGTTTTTATTTAAAGGGGAAGTACCAATTGAATGGTGTGCTTTTTATCAATATCACCAATAATTTGCACTTACAAAAAATCTTGCAGGGTGGTGATGGCGCACGCCTTTAATCCCAGCACTCAGGAGGTAGAGGCAGGCGGATCTCTGTGAGTTCGAGGCTAGCGTGGTCTACAAAGCGAGTTCCAGGAAAAGCACAAAGCTACACAGAGAAACCCTGTCTCGAAAAAAAAATCTTATTACCCCCAAAGAAAAAACTAGTGTTATAAGCATAAAATATATTTAAATTATTAGATCCTTCATGGGACTTTTTTATTTATAATACATACCTATTTCTTTAAAAAGGAGAAATCATTTAATAAGAGTTAGGAGATTTATCTATTCTAAAACCTTCATGACAGATTAAAGTTGGGTAAAATTACTTAGCAGAAGGTGAAATTTGTATCAACCAAATAAAAGAGTAACATAAATAGCTATTTTGAGTAGCTCTTCTGGGTCATTTACTTGCTCTTGCTATGTATTTATTTTTCAAATTTCTATTTTGGTATAGCCCCTAATTCTAATAAATGGCCATTGTCTCACAAAATATATGATACTTCAGAAAAATGAAATAGCTGTCATGTCAGTAATTTTCTTCTTATTATCACATTGCTATCATCATAGTCTTCATTTTAATTTATTGTGGGGAGTAAAACAGTGTCAATATATTCTCACTCCTTTAAGGACTGGTAAATGGCTTAGAACTGTCATAATGTCTATGTCACAAAAGCCAATATCTTGATGTCCCTGAAATTGTCTGCAGCAGTTTATACTGGTTCTCATCACAACTCAGTGAATGACAATGGCTTTCTATAGCATGCATCATACAAAAGGGTTAGCTGAGTGATTTCTACGTGCCGGGACCTGTGTTAAGTCTTGCAGAAGAATAATATAATTTAAAATCAGTAATTATTCAATTAGTCAGTTATCATTACTTACATAATAGACCCAAGCTTAGAATTTCAGCTACTCATCAGGCAATAAGTGACTAAGCTAAGGCTTGGATTTAATGTTTGTGATTCTACTCTATACCTATAAACTATCTTATTCCAATAGTGGCTGAGATTTCCTTTCAAAAGTTCAACAGTATTTGGTTCTCCTCCATTTTATGGGCACTAGGAAGTTTTAATTCTTACATTTTGTGATTAGATGAGGTCATCTAAGTGGTTGTGGGCAAAGTTTAGTGAAGAGAAGAGATATGCTGTGTGTTTACGTTTTTTGTTTGTTTGTTTTCATTTTACTGAGAGTTACTGTTCAGCCCAAGAGCCTGGAGCTCACCATAAAGTCCAGGCTGACATGGAACTTTTGATCTTCTTGCTTTCACTTCCAAATGTGACTGCATGTGTGTGCCATCATGCCTCCACATTGAAACATTTAATCGCTAACATGAAACTTTCTTGACACCTCTCTTTCTTAGTTGAAGCGACTGAGGAGGTTTCATGTTGGGATGTTGTAGCTTTTAAGTGTGAAGAATCCTGACTTAGTCATCATACAGAGACTAGACCTGGAGGTAATTTTCTAAATCTAAGCTTAGTAATGTGTGTAAATTAGAAACATGGTGTGTGTGTGTGTGTGTGTGTGTGTGTGTGTGTGTGTGTGTGTGTGTTTTAAATGACTAAGATTATAGGACTGGGCCGCCGCCTGGTCCTTCCAGCCGTGGCCGCGTCGTGGTTCGTGTCTCTGCACCATGTCCGGTGGCCTCCTCCTGGTACTCGTGGAGCTCAGCGAGTACTGGGACCAGCATTTCCGGGGTGACAACGAAGAACAAGAAAAATTACTGAAGAAAAGCTGTACATTATATGTTGGAAATCTTTCCTTTTATACAACTGAAGAACAGATTTATGAACTCTTCAGCAAAAGTGGTGACATAAAGAAGATCATCATGGGTCTGGATAAAATGAAGAAGACGGCATGTGGGTTCTGTTTTGTGGAATACTATTCGAGAGCAGATGCGGAGAATGCCATGCGGTACATAAACGGAACTCGTCTGGATGACCGGCTCATCTGCACAGACTGGGATGCAGGCTTTAAGGAGGGCAGGCAGTATGGACGTGGACGATCTGGGGTCAGGTTCGAGATGAATATCGGGATGACTACGATGCTGGCAGAGGCGGCTATGGCAAATTGGTACAAAAACAGTGAGTGGAGAGAGCCCGGAGTACACAGCTCACTCTTGACTGTTGATGAGTGTGACCCAAGGTTTGATCAGATCTCTGTTGCACTGGAAGCCACTTCCGGTTTTCTTCTGAAATATTAAAAGACAGAATCCAAAAGAATGCCTTTAATTCTGGTCTTATTAGGTTTATTTTCTGTTATTAGGTCAAAAACTGTAATCCTGGGCAACAGACTCATTCTGTGCCAATTAAACTGTCAGCTGGAATCTACACTTCATTTTAAGAACTGACTTTATAGCCGGGCGGTGGTGGCGCACGATGCCTTTAATCCCAGCACTTGGGAGGCAAAGGCAGGTGGATCTCTGTGAGTTTGAGGCCAGCCTGGTCTACAGAGTGGGTTCCAGGACAGGCTCCAAAAGCTACACAGAGAAACCCTGTTCAAAAAAACAAGACAAAAAAAAGAATTGACTTTACAAGTAGTCTGGTAATCTTCATGGGTAGTGATGTCATTTTTTATATTTTAGGTTTGCATGTGTATTGCTGAGATTTTCCTATAGTCTGTAGCCTTGCTCTAAATTAGGAACAGGTACTTGTCAACTGGATTTGCTTTTTATATTTCAATATGGCTGGCACAAAAGTCAGCCTTAATTAAGGTCCTAGGATGCTACCTGCTTCTGTGCTTTATATTATCAGGACAGTATCAGGACTTGAAGAGTGGTCACTAAACATATTCCTCAAAAGATACAAATGTTTCACTGACAGTTTAAAACAAAACAAGAAATAGCAACAGAAAACCCAGAAACAAACAAAAACCTCCAAGGACTTTGTTAGAGAGCCTCTGTTATCCTAAGAAGTCGGGGAAGACACTTGTTAGCAGGGAATGGAATGAAAGTTCAAACATTGCCTGGATATGGAAGCTGCAATTGGGCCATTTGATTATTTTTTCCTATTTTCAAAATGACTTGGACTAGAATGGGCTTTTAAAGGGGACTTCAGCCAGGCCTATAATCCTGGCTACTTGGGAGGCTGAAGCAAGAGAATCAAAAGTTCAAGGCCAGTTGGGGCACCTTTGAGTCTGCCTCAAAATAGGAGCAGAAAAGGGGTGGGGGCGGGGGGTGGGGAGGCACAGTGGTTAGGTACTTATGTGAGTGGTTCTGTGTTTAGGACTGCCTAAACAATAAAAGTTTGAAAACTGGTAGTGTTTAACAACAGAAAGCCTCCTCCAGGAAATGTCTGTTGTAGCTGGTACACATCCTTCAGTCTGTTTTCTTATTTTCCCTCAAATTGTGCTTGCTGAGGCCCGTGCATTAACAGTAACCTGGAGGTCTCTACAGAGAGAGTCTAGAGGATTTTGCATTTTCTTTCTAATACTACATATGAGTAATTTTTCAAGATACAAAAAAAGGGAAATCCCTTCATCTGTTACTTTACTAAAGCATCTTCTAATTCTCACTAGTTTTTCAAAGTTGGGGCAGAACATCTTTGAGGCTGAATTAAGTGTGATTTTCCTGGAGCTGTAACTACTGTAATGGAACAGCTTAGGAAGCTCATTTGCAAACACTTAATGAGGAGACACTTGAGTTTTAAAATAAAGGTTTTTGTACTGTAGTTTGAACTGCTTATCATATTCTTTTATAGTAAAATATAACTCAGATTTCTATAATCTTGTGACCCAAAACAGTGGGAATTTTATCTTCTGTAACAAGTTTCAATAAATTTAGACCAACTTAAAAAGAAAAGATTATAGGACTGTTCTTTAACTAGCTGATTAATTTTTTTAAGGTATTGAAATTAAAGAATTGCCATATAAAAACTAAAATGTGACACTGGCTATATAATTTTGTGGTAGTATTCTGAAATTTCCAATTTTGGTAAATTTGTCAACTGTAATAGGCTAGGAACATACATGTAATTAAAAATATGTAACTACAGTGGAAATTGTGGGGGAAATTTTCATAGGGAACTCCTGTAGGGGAAGTACCCAATAATATTGATAGTGATAGTAGCATTTATTTCCGCTGTGTTTGCTTGACAAAATAGTACAAGCAAGAGGTGACTTTGGTGAGAATTAGCTAGTTTGCAAATAGAAATAAGGATAATAGAAAGTACAAGTATTCCTGACATAGTATTTTTGAAAAAAATACTGATTTCATCTCTCAACTGTGACCCATAAGGGTTCAAGTGGTTTGAGGAACAATTAAACTCACTAAAGATCAGTCACCACTTTGGTGTCAAGTTTATTACCTCAGACCTGTCTAGAGGAAACACCCATATATGTTCAACAAAATCAACACCTCATATAGATGTGGATTTAGTTTTAAACCCTTATCCTCAGTGTTCCTGTATCATAATTTGAAACTTTTAAAATGCCTGATTTGTGACAGGGGATACTGCATAATAACATGGTCTCAAATGAAGGTACCTATTTTATACTGATTGAGGTGTAACATTAACAGATCCAATAAATTTATTGAATGGCCTGATAATGACTTAGCTAAGTCACCAAATGGAAGAAGGGACCCTGAAAAGTTGGAATATGTTCTGCAGGCTGTGGTATGTGAAGTCATATGTTAATAACTGATTTACAATACTGTATTCCTAAAAACTGCTGTACAATAATGTATTCCTAAAAAGGTAGTACATGGGGACTGGAGAGATGGTTCAGAGGTTAAGGACACATACTGCTCTTGCAGATGACTGGAGTTTATTTCCCAGCATCCCTGTCAGGTGGCTTACAAATGCCTGGAACTCCAGCTCCAGGAGATACAATGTCTTCTTCTTACCCCTTTGGGTACCCCCACATATACATATATACATATAAGCAAAATTAAATTTAAAAAGATAGAATGTAGTACTTAATAATCCCTTTTCCATAGTTTCTATACTCATTCTATTAAGTCTTGGTACCTGCTTCCTAATTATTCCTATATATTTGTAAAATGCAAAAATCATATATGTAAATACACATTAGGAATTAACTGTAGGGCTTCAAGATGGCTCACTAGGTAAAGGTGCTTTCCACACATGTCTGCCGACCTGAGTTTGATCCCTAGAACCCACATAAGGGCAGAAGAGAAACACAAAGTTGTCCTCTGACCTCCTCCCATGCACTATTGCCCATACACAAACCCATTATGTACACTCACACACATACATAGTAGTAATAATAAGAAGTAAGATTTCACTGGAATGCTGAGGCATCATAGCTGGGTAGGATTTCTGGTTGTCTCCCTCCTCTGGAAGCTTGCATGGTGCCTTTTGGTACTAGAAATCCAGCTAATAATTACTCAGGGCTAGTAAAGTCATGGCTATTGGAAGAGACTACAACCAGTAGTTTACTAAAACAGTATTATCCCTAACAACAATCTATAAACATTTAAAAGTATGCCCACAGGTAAGAATTTGTGTCATTAGATGCCATATTGAAGTAACAGTACATTTAGGATAGATTAGCATCTGAGATCTCTTTTTTTTTTTTTTTTTTGGTTTTTCGAGACAGGGTTTCTCTGTGTAGCTTTGCGCCTTTCCTGGAATTCGCTTTGGAGACTAGGCTGGCCTCGAACTCACAGAGATCCGTCTGCCTCTGCCTCCCGAGTGCTGGGACTAAAGGCGCTGAGATCTCTTTTTAGACCCAACATAGGCTAAGGATATTTTGTAAAGCATGCCACTGGGACTACAAAGGAAAGTTTAAATTGTCAATGCATCTTTCTACATTGATTTATTAAACCATAAAAAATATTTTCCTCTAATCTTTATGTTGTGGCAAATTGTGGGTACCTCCTCTCATACATTTTCATTTAGTTACTGAATTGGGGTTCTGCTTCAAGTTTCTGAGGCAATGATTAAAATACAGTCTCTGAGAATGAGTTTGCACTATCCAGTTGCTATAGAAAACTTGCACCAACCATCACATGATAAACTTTTGATTTTGAAGACAACTAACTGTGCCATCCTATTCTGGGAGGAGAAATATTTAAAGTGAATATTTACAGACAAAAAGTGTGTGACACTTGCACTAAAATAATATCATTTAGGTGTTTACCTTCAGCGCAATGTGTTTGTATATGGAGATTGAGATGAAGACTGAATACATGAAGACAAACATAGGTTCTAATTACTGCTTGTGGAGAAGGAAAGTGGCTACCACTGAGAGGAGACTGAAAGGGCTGAGTCGCTACTCACTCTCTTCTTTCTTGTTTCTGTGTCCTCAGAGGACATCTGTATTGTCAGGGCTCTGTGATCTCAGATGCTGCAAAGCAAAGGTTTGAAAAAAAATTTAAACTAGGAACTCTTTCTTCAAAACCTCTAAAGATGCAGCATTGTTTATACTATATCTACACATATTAAGGAAATTTGGGGAAGGTAAATTATAAATCCATGTATTTTGAAACAAATTGTGAAAAAATGACTATAAGGGAGGTACTCATACTGTTTTCTTCTGGTCTTCCATGAATCATTTAAACATGTCCTAGATATCTGGACACCACTTTAAACATTGTTGCCCTAAGGACAACTTTTGATTTATTATACCGGTAATTAAAATCTGCAAATGCCCCCAAACATTACTATACCCATAAACTATAAGCTTCTAATTTTAGTGGTTTTATTTTGCTTGCAATTTTTGTTAAAATGACAGACATTCTTCCTATTCATTAATTAGGTTTCAAAAGATAAGCAGAACATTTAAAAGTATGGTTAACACTGGGGACGTGTACTGAGAAATGCTTCATTAGTAGGTTTCATAATTGTGTGAATATCAGAGTGTACACATGCAAACCTGGGTAGTCTAGCCTACTACATGCCTAGGCTTATAAGACACATGTGTTTGTATGTATCTGTTATAGTGTTCAACTAAAATAGCAGGAGATTAAATCAAGCACAAGAGAAAATATTAGAATCAAGAGTGGAGGTAAGCATGAGGATGTATGAGGTAGAGACTACCATAGTATGATGGACTGTTTTATGCTTAAATTCTTTTTTGGATCGGGCAGTAATGGTGCATGCCTTTAATCCCAGCACTTGGGAGGCAGAGCCAGGCGGATCTCTGTGAGTTCGAGGCCAGCCTGGGCTACAGAGTGAGTTCCAGGAAAGGCGCAAAGCTACACAGAGAAACCCTGTCTCGAAAAACAATAAATAAGTAAATAAGTAAATAAATAAATAAATAAAAATAAAAAATAAAAAAATTCTTTTTTGGTTCATAGAATGAATATAGCATAATGGTTAAAAGTATATAAAAATAA